TCACAGCACTTAGGTAAGCTGTGGAAATGAGGAAACCCCATTTTCTTTTATACTTTCTCATAGTTTCTTAAATCACTAAGTAAATGTTGACTGACAGTTTTTTAGATATATGGTGTTCATTTTCCTTTGGATAATTTCTATCTAATTTGAGTACAGAAGATGGGATCTAAATGCTTATTTAGACAAGAGTCTTATGTAAGAGTGCCTCTCACAGTATCAGTGCTCACATAATTGTTGAATGGATGAATAAATGTTACAAATTGAGTTCAGCTTTTCAGTTAAAAGTGCTCTCACAAGGGGCCAGGAGTACAGCTTCGGGCATACATGGCATTTGCTTAGGAGTACTTTGCCCTGCCTGTGTTCTTACGTCTCCAGGTTCTTGAGGTTGAAAGCAACTTTCTGTGTTTCCATCTACAGAGTGACAGTTACTTGATTCACTCCATGTTCCTCCCAGCCAATAAGTGACAGGTCCTAGTTTTATTACCCTTACCCACTTCAATTTCACCCTGCCTCAGCTTTGCCAGGCATTTCTTAAGGAAACCAAACCTTTTTCTCTAACTATTTTAGTACTGTTCGGGGAAATAGAATATTTATACATCGGCTATAAGGGAAAATGTCAATATTGGAGTTCTCATAGAAGATTTCTTAGAAATGGGACTCAAATTGGTCTTGAAGGATTAACAGAATGGGGCTAGATAGAGAGTTTGAGTAGAAAAGAGTTTTTTCCCCTCCCCAGTCAGAGGAAAAAAAAAAAATAGTAGTGATGCATGGCATGTTGGAATGTCAAAACCAGGACTTGTGTTGGAAATTGAAGAGAAGATTGGCATAGTAGAGTTTCGCTTATGGAAATTATGGAAATGTGACATTTTTACCACTTCGTTGTTCATTTGTATTCCTACCCAACCACACACCCACCCATTCCCTTTTTTTCCATTTGTTTCTTTAGTGGGTACAAGTTATCTCTTGTGGTCCATGAATGGGTGAATATCTATCCATCTTTATGCCCACCCCACCGCCAGCACATGTATCCTATATTTCAGTAGATTTAGGTGCAGAAGTCAAGATCATGGCGTGTCACCAGCCTGGCTTGCACAGAGCAAACTACCTTGTTAGAGTTGGTGTTTGATTCTAATGAGAAATCTGTTTTTATTACATATGCTTCTTTGCTAAGTACTGGTGAAGTCTTGTCCACTTTTTAAAAATTAAGCTTTCTGTAAATTTTTGAATATTTAGTTCTGCCTTTGGTCAAGGTTCTGGCTTTTGTGTTAGTCATCTCCCAGCTAACAGCCTCTTGGCAAGCTGTGCTTGATTCAGTTATTGTGTGTTTACAGGCAGTTCAAAATTCCACCTCGCCCAGAATTTTTCCACCTTCAATGTCCAGACACTTTTTCTGGCTTCCCCTATCCTTCTGAAAATTCAGAATCACATTTAAGTGCTCATGTTTGAAGCTGTTAATTTCTTCTTCTTTTTTTTTTTGCCTGATTAATTTTGAATTTGAAGTACTCATACTTAACACATTTAAACACTTACACATTTCCCTTTACTAGACCCCTGCACATTAACAGTGAAGACCTGGTCTTAATGTAGTACACGTATGATTTCATGAATTGTGTGACTCTACATCGTGCACAACAGAGAAATGAAAAGTTGTGCTCTATTTGTGTACAATGAATTGAAGTGCACTCTGCTGTCAGGTATAACTAATTAGAACAAATAAAAAATAAAAATGTGTGATCCATTCTCAGTCCCTCACACCTCTGCCTGGGATTCCCTTCAAGGCCTCCTTTTCCCATCTAAGTCACCAGTTTTCTGGCTCTATCTCCCCATTTAGAACCTGTTCTCATATTTTTTATTCACACAGGGCCAAATTGTAGGCTTCAGTTGAGATTCTTTCCTTTCCAATGGTGGAAATAAAAATCATAACCTTAAATTTAGGGTTAATGGAGGCCTTGTGTGCCCCTAATGTGAGTTTTGGAAACTCTGTCCTGTTCCTGGATGTATATAATGTGTACACTATACAAATGTCATACAGTCCAGGGAGGGACTTAAAAGATCATGAGTTATCATGTGCCATTTCCCACTCTGACCTCTTCTAATTAAAATACTTCAAACCTCATCAGTAATTATTAGACTGCTTCATTAATTATCACGGGGTTCCACAGGGGTTCGTATGAAATCCCCAAAGGTCTCACAGAGTGGACCAGTGTTGTTATCATCACTTTAACTGGTCTTTAGAGGTATTAGAATTTCAGGGCTTTAATGGCACATCACTCCAAACATGAAAGTATCCAGCTTGTCTTTAAGAGGGGCTTCCTAAATCCAGCCTCAGACATTTACATACTACCTGGAAAAGTCATCTTCTAGCAATGTTAATAGTTTCCTTGGCCCAGAAGAAGGCAGTGAAGACCAGAACCCATTTTAAAACCACCCTGACCTAACCAACCTTGAGTTTCCATCTGGTTGGGCTTAAGATGACAATGCCATTTCAACACGACTAGGAACTCCAAGGTTTTGGAATGATATTGGGACTTTAGTTTTCCCTTAAAGCATTCGAACTTTTATTTCCAGGGTTTCCACCTCTTCTTGATATTGGGACTTTAGTTTTCCCTTAAAGCATTCGAACTTTTATTTCTAGGGTTTCCACCTCTTCTTGATATTTAAAGTATTAAAGAACTCCAGTTATCAGTTAAAATCATAGCAGACACATAGGCTCTAATGACTTCTGCAGGTGGTTTGGGCTGTATTAGAGAACCTAGTCTTGATCTTAAACTGTCATCTGGATTCTGAGTTAATTCTGGAAAGCAGTAAAAATTAGTAATGTGTATTGCATGTCTCTGATGCATATGTTTTCCATTATTTGGTCTTCTATGCCACAGTGCCTGCATACTACACGAATGTGTACACACACACACACACACACACACACAAGATTTCTGTTCCAAAAGGAAATGACTGGTGTTGTGCCTTGAAATTTGAACTTGATCACATGTTCTGAATGAAATAACTCCAAATACATTTGCAGAATATCTTTCTTCCATCTCCTACTTTTTTGGAAAATACTTCAGTGAGAAACATTGACTAACTTATAGTCATTAAAATTTAATTCTCTAAAGATAAGAAAATGATTTGATAGTCATTGCAAAGAGGCAAGACTTGTAAAATTAGACTTAAACTTCCTAACAATAGTCTTAAAAATAGGTAGCGTTTGTTCATATACAGCAGCAACAAGTTATTGTTTTTTTTAATCTCTGGTAAGTAATTAACCTCAACTGTAATAGAAGAGATTTATATGACTTGTAATGGGAAATTTATCATTGTTGGAGACTATTTTAAACAATGGAACAATGGAACCGACCAATAGAAGTGGAGGAATGATATTTTCTGTTGGATTTAAAGTAGAATATATCATATATTCAAAACACTTAATATTGATAGATCATTAGATTTGTCTAGTAATTTTTAACTTCTTTGGGGGGGTCACAAAGCTCATTGAGAATCTGATGGACCCTATTTCAATACACACACAAATTTCATACAATTTCAGGGAATTTAGAGACCCTAAAGTCTGTAAATTAGACCCCAATTTATGACACTCCAGAATAGATGGTCTCCAGAAGTCTTTGCTAGCTTCCTAAATGATAAGCTGTATGATTCAATTTTCTCAAACATAACAAGGAATCTGAAGATCAGATGTCAAACTTTGGAGTTTCTTTCTCTAGATTTATAATACTTGATATGTATGGTGTCAAAGTAAAAATAAAGCATAATGGAATAGAAAGAAATTCTACTTTTGTATATTCAATTATTGTAGAGAAGCCAAATGTTTAAAGTTTAAAAATCAGTGGTTGATTTTGTATCATCTTCGTAGAAAGACAGTATAGGACAAGGCCACCTGCACACCCAACTCCAAATTCACAGAAGAAAATGCAAAATCAGACACCACATTGACTACTCAATATTATTCCAAGTTCACACTGCTTCTAACCATAATGCTGTGGTTATTCAGCTGGGCTTGAAAAATGTTTTGTCTATAATTCTCTCATCAGTTTTATGCACAATTTTAGTTGACTACAAATTGGAAAATGATCACCCAGGATTATGAATCAGAGAGTAATTTGGCCCTCTCCCTAAAATGAAGAACTTTCATCCTCTTAGGAATTAAGAAGGGAATATAGTTTGTATCTGTGTATTTTGAACTCATGTTAATGAGCTAACCTTATGTATGGTAAGCATGACTCTACCTGGGTTTCCTGTTCCCTTCTGCAAACACCCTCTAGTGTCCCTGCAAACCTTAGAACACTTCCTTTAATCTCAAATTGTAACTGTATTGATTCTTTGTACCTGAAATCAGAAACTGTGGGAATAAAAATTACCTTGATATGGAAGGGATGTGATAATGATCTCTGGGCAAGAGTATAATTGTCAAATACCCTTGAGTTCTTGTCAGTTTTCACTGTACTTTATTCTTTTAATGCAAACCCTTAAATTCCCAGTTGGGAGTATCTTAATGAAATTAGATTGATGAATAGGAGCCAAGCAGTCTAGGCCAAAGGTCTCCTTACATTCATATCATTGGTTCTTTGGATAGTTAGTTGTTCTTTCCCATTGTTGAAGGGAAGGAGAAGGGCTTAAATAACCTTTCTGCTCCTTATTAAAATCCCTTTCTGTTCTAATTGTTCCAGTTATGATAATTTACTGCATGGAAAGCATACAAGACATACAATGTCTACGGGTAGATATTCTGTGGTATTATCTCTGACAGTGGGTCCAGCCCTTATGAGCTAATAAATGTTGTTTGGGAATTAAAATTGAGAGAGGACAGGCCCTCTTGGCACTGAGCCCTGCTGCAGCTCTGCTACTGGTGAAGTTCCTTTGCATCCTTGAAAATGTATCAGCAGTTCTTACCCTTAAAGCACATTCATGTCCTTCTGGGATTAAAGCTCCTAGCAGAGATGCACATTCTGTTGAACATTTACACCTGTGTATATTCCTTTCTACAGAAAACGTGATCAACGGGCAGGATTACGAAGTGATGATGCAAATTGACTGTCAGGTGATGGACACCAGGATCCTCCACATCAAAAGCTCCTCCGTCCCTCCTTACCTCCGAGATCAGCAGAGGAATCAAACCAACACTTACTTTGGTTCCCCTCCAGCAGCCACCAAGGCGACCCATGTTGTCAGCACCATCCCTGAATCATTACAGTAGTACCCTGCAGCTACATTGGAAGACTAAGAATGAGACCCTGCCAAACTGAAGAGTGGTGAGAGAAATGGTGTTCTCTGCCTCCTTTGTGGCAAGCAGACAACTGTCTCATGCTGTAGCTCAAGGATGGGGAGAGATTGAAAAAGAAGCTGCTGTTTCCACCATCCACCCATCTATTTGCAAAGCACTGGAAATTATATGCAAGGGAACATTTCTTTAGTGGCAAATGTGGCCTGCATCCTCCAGTGTTACCTTGTGTGGATTTTTTTCCCCATACTTTTCTTAAATGCTTTCCCTGCTGTATTTGTTTTATATTTAGTCATCTTCTTTCAAGTAAGATCCAGTTCCCCTTTCTGCCATTTCACTTATTGATACAGTAAAGTGATTTTTCTTTAAAGCTGTAGCACATGGTTGTTCAGATGGTTCCCACTTACCGAGTTTCTCATTCCTTTAATGCACACCCATTCTGGAAATTGCGCAAATTTCAAAACCAGAACAGCCAATAATACACTTCACAAAGAATCAAAACAATTTGGAGCTTTGGCTAAAAAGGGAATATACCCATTTAGTAAAGTTTATTTTTCTTAGCATTCATGGTTCACACCTGAATGGGTGGCTGTGTTGGGGGTCAGAGGTAAACTACATATTTGAGAGAATGGAAGGGAGTTTAATTAATTGATACATGTGTTAAAACATTGAAAATTTGATGTGATTGCAGTTTAAGATTAAAGCCATAGCTACTTTTTATTTTTGGGATTCAAGGTCCCCAAGTGATAGCATGCAGATTTATGTTTGTTTTTTTTTTTTCCTTTGTGGTACTGGGGATTGAACCCAGAACCTTGTGCATGCAAGACAAGCACTCTACCAACTGAGCTATATCCCCAGCCCCAGATTTATGTCTTCTTAACTAACCTGTGCAATCCTCAAGGACTACAGGGCAGTTCCTTATATTTCATGGTGAATCTCCACCCACTACACACATACTACTCTCTATATAATACCAAATTGAGTTAAGGAACATGGAGGTGTCGTAAGCAAGACAAGAGCTTTCGGGGATTGACAAGTATTATTTAATACAAAGCAGACAAGCAAGCTTGTATTCTTGCTGGATGCAACCCATAATATGGCAATAATCTTCAGTTTCTCCAGTGAACAGTGAAGAAATTAACTCTTTTCTTGTCCCATGGCTTTAAAAAATATATATATTCTTATATTTTACTGTACTTTGACTACTTTTTTTTCATTTGGTGAATTCTCAAAAATGGATCTCAGGTAGTGATCTCCACTCAGATGTTCTAACGCCTTCAGTTTTCTAATGGAACTCTTTCTCCCTCTCCTTCCTAAAACTTTTCAACTTCTTGATAAAACTCATTCTACAAACACTGCTTCTCACCTCCAGAAATTTGCCTTTGTGAGATTCCTTTCTTTCCATTCCACACTGTATCAACTAATTCCTCTTCCTCCCTGCAAGAGAAGAAAATTTTTATCAATCCCTCAAGGATTACATGTAGTCAGTTCATTTTCTGCCTTCAAACCTATTAGACTTGCAGTAATAAATAATTTTAAAGAATCACCGGTACTTCTAACTCTCTAGATAGTGATCTCTCAGGCTACTAGATGCTTTCTAAGGAAATCAGTTTCATTTTGTAGGGATGGAGGCCTCTATTGCTCTTTTACCTGAGAATCTGGAGATGGAGGAGTATTAGCTACCTCTCATCTTTTTCCACATTTAAAACTATTTTAAGTCAATGGAGCACTCTCTGATTTGGCTTCTGTGTGATTTGCCAGACAAGAACCATTTCTCTGGAGACTTTTCTTCTAATGGGTACCAAGGAATATAAAATGAATGTCTAGAAGACCTCTAGGTTACTAGGCAAGTAACCTATAGGGTAACCTCCAGCCCCACTCCTTTCCATTCTGCGATGTGAATTAGCCCAATAAGGGACTGGGACTGTGGCTAGTAGGCAGTGGCAGCATACACTTCACAAAGAATCAAAACAGTTTGGATCTTTGGGTAAAAAGGAAATATCCCCAGTTGGTAAAGTTTATTTGTACTTAGCATTTGTGGTTTATACCTGAATGGGTGGCCTTCCCTTTTTACTTTATTCCCAAGCTGCTGATCTGCTGAAACTGTCATTTCCAGCAGATTCAGTGCATCTGAAATGATTGTAGGTGGAGCCTCTCTCCTCTTCCTGGCACCAAATCACACAAAAAGAAACCATCACATGATTTCCTTGTGTTTAGCACTTCATTTTCACTTCATTTCTTCCCAGCTTTTCTTATGTTCATTCTATCAACTCATCAGACTGAAGACTTCAATATGTCATGAACACCAAGATTAATTCCTCTCTTCTGGGTGACAATGCAGATGGTGGTTAGGAGGGAGTCACAGTCAAAGAGCAGACTGATGTTAGGAGGCCAGAAGCTCCAGTCACAGAGCGGGGCACCTGAGAAGTGATTCCGAAAAGCAATCTGGGAGCTTTACCTCCTCTTTTCACGCTCTGCCCCTATAGCTTCTTGTCATCAGCTGTGCTTGAATTGATCTTTTGAGAATGAGGGAACAGAATCCTCCTCATGGTAGAGTTTCAAAAAACAAGTAAAAGGTTACTGACAAGCACAAAGAAATATTCTACTTTTTAAAGTACTGAAAGAACTATTATAAAACCCTAAGCACAGTAGCAGTTTTCACTTTAATGTTTGTGTGCTAGCACTAGGCTTTTTAGGAAATAGAAAGTTGCTATGCCAAGTTAATAAATTGAGCAGATATTTGGGCTAAGTATTTTGGTGGGGTTGCCTGTTGGGGGTTGTACCCAGGAAGTATGAAAGATATATGTATCTATCTATCTCTATTATCTTTTTATTATTATTTATTAAAGTCTGAAGTGAGGCTTTGCAAGCTGTGAGAAAATTAAACAAATTCATAGAAGAAGAAAGTCCATCTATTATTAAGGTGGTTTTGAGCTCTTGGGCCAATAATACTATAATGTGGGGGAAGTGACAGTGGAGACTAATAGGGGCAGTCTTTCCATCTGTTGCAAGTCCTGAATTTTTAGGCTTAATGGAAGTAAGTGAGTGTTTCCTCATGCTATCTACTGAAGGTGTTTGGAGCAGGCTTCTCTGTACACCAATAGCACAGGAACAACTTCACTAGACTGTGAAGATAAACCAACGCTCCAGGTAGGGGTTAATGTGAAAGGATGGATCATTCTCAAGGTAAATCTATCATTTGCCATGCTTGTAGTACAGCAACTTTACATCAGATTTATAGGTGGAATTTATGTTTTCAGAAATAAAAAGTCCCCCATGATATAAAAGCTCAGAGCATCTTCTGATTTTTTTTTTTATGACTTCAAGTTTTAGCACAAAATTGGCACCTCTGTGCCTTTTCTTGTTAGCCAGAAGTAGATAGAAGGTATTTGAAAGCAAGGAGATTATATGAGTCATTCTTAAGTATTCCCAATAAACATTCCTTAGAAAGAGAGAAGGAACTTGGAATTCAAACTGGTTTTCCTATCATGTTTAAAGAGATACTACCCTGACTAATTTTTGTTGGCCCGAATCTTCCTCCCCAGTAGTCACAGCAGCAGGTGCTGGTTAGATACCATTGCTGTAGCGTTTAGTGTTTAAAACTGGAGAACTCTCAAGCTCTCCCAGTGTTCAGACTATTATTTGATTCTTGCTATTTAACTAAGCTCAGGTTGTAAAACTTGACAGAAATGTACCACAGGAAAAAACTTGTCCTTGTATTCAACTTATGCATTGAAGAGTTTCAAAGCAACTTCCACTTTCAATAACATATTAGAAGCAGCCACTTTTACTTTCATAACCTGAAGAGCCAGTCTGATCTGATAGCCTCTTTCAGTCTAACAGCCTGGAAATTTCCACCCATGAAAGTCTTCTTTCCACTGCATACCAACAGGCTGACTCAGCTTCCCTCAACAAACCCATAGGAGCTGAACTTCAAATGAGCCCATTGTCATGCTATTGGCTGTGTCATAGGAATTAACCTCTCAAATAAGATTGTTTCTTGCCAGAATGCATAGAAGCTTATCACAACCTACAGCCTCCATACTCCTTACCAGAATGTTATTTTCCTTAGTCTTAGGTATTTTAATGTACATAATTTAGGATCTTTGCTGCTAATATGAATACCCAATTATAAGTTATACCATAAAAGCAAGAAAGCCTAAAAAAAGAGAATGAAATATTAGAATTCATTCCTGTCCTAATAACATTTGGAAGGGGAAATTCCTGTCTTCCCTATCCCCACCCCCTTGCAGGGATTGTGGTCGATTTTTAAGGAAGCAGAATATTGGACTGTCCAAAAAAGATCTTGCCAGAGTCCAAAAGGACCTATGCCCATAAAAGAAATGGAGTTTTCTCCTGAAGGAAAAAAAAAAAAATCAGAGCGTATTCTGTTAACTTATATTTTTAATGACTAAGCTTATGGCAGAGTTTATTTTGGATAAGACTAGAACTTGCAGCAGTTGTAATATCTGTGTTATCTGTCAGGTGCAAAAGAATTTATGAAAAAGAATAATAAAAGTATGTGATTAGAAAGTTTAATTTTACATATGAATCATGTCATGGCTAGCCAGTGTCACATAATGAACATCATTCTTAACTAACATTAAGCATTAAGGATTTAGCACATTAAAAGACTTTTAATTATATTAAGCTTGAGAACTGATAAATGAGAAATGATAAATCAAGTTTATCATTTGTCAAGATCAACAAACACCACACTGTTATGCTGTTTGCCTTCAATGAAATTGGTGACCATTAGTTAAATGAATCAGGAGGCTTAGCATATCCTTTCGTGTGCTAATCTCAGATAAGAATTAGAAGGTTGACTTTCACAGCAAATGTTTATTGGTTGAACTGTTTTAATTCATACTCAGCCATAATTCCTGGTCCAGTCGTCAGGATAGAGGAGATGCTGGGAAAACAACTAACTTTAGATGAAAACAACTAGCCTGAGAGATACCAGTTTATTTCCCTCATCATGTTGACAATTATGTTTGGGCTAAGACCAGTAATGCTGCATCCATGGACTCATTAGAACCAGAGGAGAGCGTTAGAAATCCTATTTCACCACGGTTTTCTTCCTAAGGCTATATTGTGCTAAAGTAAGGACGGGTTGAAAATGAGCTGGAAAGATAAACCAATATCTCCCTTAATAATTATGTTGTTTTACAAATACATAAAGAAATGACAGCAGACTATTTCATACTTTTAAGCAAGTCTTTATAATGTGAAACCTGTTCTTTCTCTAAAGTTCAAATAAAGAATTTTTAAACTTGCTTTGTTTTGTTCTGTATGTAGAAAGAAAAAAAATAATCTTTGAAGTCAAGTAGTTAGGAAGCCTAAAAAGGTTTTGTGGCTTGTGTTACTTTTTAGATGAAACTGTTAAGATTCTTTTCCACTCTTCTCCCATGCCTGGTTATGTAAAAATTTTCTTTTTTGTGTCCAAATATTTAAACTTCGGTCTCATCGAGGAAAAAAAGAAAAATGCCTAGAACCCATTCTTTATCCTTCTGTGTCATCAGGAAATTGTGTTATTCAATTACATTCAGTCTTCACCAAAAGCCTCTTCCCAGCTTGGAATGGCAGATGCCACCATACCGAAGCTAGTCACTGCAGATAACAGGAGCTGATCTATCTAGGAATAATGAATGCAGGCATTTATTGAGCACCCAGTGCATACTACATATATGGCTTATGTTCATTAACTATTATCTTATTTCAATCCTCTCTATAACCTATTTCTTAAGATAGTTACAGAATTAGTTAATAGAACCAATATTTAGACCATGGCAATTTAGCTCCAACACATAGATTATTAATTACTATATTGTTCCACCTCCTGAGATTAGATCTGGCATAGGTTCTAGCCCTAAACAAATTTACAGACAGATTATGGAGTCCAATACAAAAAAATGTAAAAATATGATAACATCAGTGTTCTCTTAGAGGCTGTGTTAGTTTACTGTTGCTGTGACAAAATACCTGAGATAAACAACTTATAAAGAGGAAAGGTTTATTTTGGCTCACAGTTTCAGAGGTTTCAGTTCATGATTGTCTTTGGGCCTGTGGTGAGGCAGCACATCGTGGCAGGAACATATGGCCAAGGAGCTGTTCATTTCATTGCAGCCAGAAAGCAAAGAGACAGGAAGGGACCAGAGTCCCAATATCTTCTTCAAGTGTACACCCCTAAAACCTAACTTCCTTTCATAAGACCCCAACTCCTAAGGTTTCATCACCTCCTAACAGTACCACAGGCCAGGAACCAAGCCTTCAATGCATGCACTTTTAGGGGACATTCCAGATCCAAACTGTATCAGAGGCAAAATTGCTTTTGTTTCAAAAGACACCTTAATAGACTTATTTAGAAAGTGAGAGCCCTCTCCCATCTAGAGGACTGACCTCAAATCACCTCTTCTGCAGAAGTTAGTGGAGATTACAGGGTGGAGGGTTGACTAGCAGAAAAGAGAAATTGGAACCGAAGAACAAGGCTGGGATCTAGAGCCTCCAGAGTGTCATGAGAAGACTCCATAGCAAGAGGGCAAATGATTTATACAACTAGCAATGCTAAACTGTAAATCTTTTTGGTTCTGATTCTTTAGTAAAAGCTAAAATACTGTATTATATCCACGTTATTTGAGGAGTGGAGGACAGGGCTCAGGTTCAACATGGTATAACTAATAAAGAAGAAAGCATGCAGACAGTCCAGTTCAGCCATACACTGAAGAGTCAGTGGAAACAACAGATAAATAAGGGAAATTGAACTCCCTCCACCCAACTACCCACCATCACCACCAAATCCTTATGGAATTGTCCCCTGGGACTTCTCATGGGTCTCAAAGTGTGACCACAAATGACATTTGGTTACACAATACATGGTATCATAAACAGAGGGCTCTTCTAGCATATACCCTGCAATTTTTCTGTTCCTCTTTGGGTACACATATTCAGATGACTTCCAATGTTTTGCTTACCACAGGAATCTATAGCATGTTTCATGCCATCACATTCATTTGATGTGATCTGGACAATGCCCATAGAGAATCCTTCTCTTAGTTCCATTAATGGTAATGGCTGATGTTTATTGAAGACAACCTTCTGACAGACATTGTGCCTTCCCAAACATTAACATAAGCTTTACAGAATCCTTAATCATAGACAAAGATATCATTATGTACCCAGCCAGAGAAGAAATAGGCACAAAAGATCAAGTAACTCACTCAAGATCTTACAACTAGAAGAGCTGGTACTAGTCTATCGTGATTTTAAAGTCACATCCTATTTACACTACATTACCATTTGTCCTTCAAAGACATAAAGGACAACAGGAGACCAAGAAGAAAGGAAGATACCAAGTCACACAACATGGACAAACACAGTGCTGAGGATGTTCTGGAAAGAGGAATTAAGCTAAGAGGCAAGGTCCAACATGGCCAGAGAGTTTACTATGAACTGTTCATTCCCTCTTTAGTTCAGTGCCACCTGCCTGCTGTATTTCTTCTGGACCTCAGCGTTTGTGGTCCCCATGTTGGATGAGTTACCTGGTGGTGCATGGGCAAGATGGGTTCTTCCATAATTGAAGGCTCCAGTCTCTGCCAACAATCCCATGCTGCTCATGTTCAGGAGTCCAAGTGTGACATGTGAGCCCATCCCAGGATGCACCCACACCTATGATGACAAATTCTGACTTTAGAGAGTTTTCCCTGAAGAATTAACTGCTAAGGAGGGAGCTAGATTATAAGATGATGAAAGATACTTATGTAAGAGATCACTAATCTTCAAATCCAAAATTGAAATGCATTGGTCCAGAACTCAAGGACATACCTTTAACATGAACACAACATACCATATTAATAAATAGATTATCTTGTAAGAGTGACTATTTGCAGCATTATCACTCCATGCTCATTTAGATGGGGGAGGGTACTTGAGAGGCAAACAAAAAATATTGCTTTCATTTGTTTACAGGCATGTCTCATTTTTCTGTGAAAAGTCAGCTGATACAAGGGAAGAACTGAGACCTCAATTGGTATCTCAGATTCTCATTCCCCAAGTGTTCTGCTCAACTTCCAAAACCTCCAGGGTCATCCCCATTATCTGATGTTTTAGTCACTTTTTTGTTACTGTGATCAAAACACATGACAAGAACAACATAGAAAAGGAAACTTTTTATTTCAACCATGGTTTCAGAGGTTCAGTCCGTTGTTGGCCAACTCCATTGTGCTGAGCCTGAGGTGAGGCAGAACTTCATGGTGAAGGGCATGGCTGGCTACTCAGGTCATGGCAGCCCAGAAGCAAGGACAGTAATTAAGGAGCCATTTACAAAATATAATCCCCAAAGGTACACTCCCCGGTGACCTACTTACTTTAGCCATACCCTACCTCCCTACAGTTACTACCCAGTAGTCCATTCAAATTATTAATGCTTATGAATTAATGCACAAATTAGATTACAGCTAAGATAGTCTAATCAGTTCACCTCTGAGCATTCTTGCATGGTCTAACACATAGCTTTTGGGGGGACTCCTCATATCCAACCAAGTGGAACCTGGACTCTTAGGATGCATTTCTTCACAGACTATGGGTTAGAAGAATTGACCCTGAAATTTAAACCTTTACTGTATGTGAAGAGCAGGCAGTGCCCTCCTGAGTTACTCCATGATGTGTAGAACAGTTTTCAGGTTGTGTCTAAACCTAAGTGAGTTCATTTTGAGAATAAGATAGAATGACTGCACACCTTACTTACACAGGTAAACCATCACCATCTGCCCTGCACAACCATAAGGCACAAATTGATAACTTGTCCATGCCAACTTATCAAAATAAATCAAGGAGTACCTGGACATGTGCATCTTCCAAATCCTACCAGGAACAGACATGAGAACTTACCAACCTCACCAGATGCAACCCCCCTCAAAGGAGGAGCCCCCCCAAGACTGGACACAATTGCACTCTGACCACATCACCTAGTCATTCTCATCATGAGCCTTGTCCAGGATATTCCTCCAATATCCTGTCCTTGTAAGGCTTCAACAGTATGGTTTTTCCTGCCAGTGATGATAGTGCTCAGCCCACTCCAAGCTGACATCTCAAACTGAAACTCCGTGCTAACACCTGGAGCTGACACTCTGAATCTGAAACTGTCTTCTGACCGAACTCTCTCCTTTGACCACTCTGTGGAACTGGTTAGTTAAAATCCTTATCAGGCAGGGCTTGGTGGCTGAAGCAGGAGGATCGCAAGTTCAAAGCAGCTTCAGCAATTTAGCAAGGCCCTAAGCAATTCAGCGAGACCCTCCCTATCTCTAAATAAAACATTTTTAAAAGGCCAAGGATGTGGTTCAGTGGTTAAGTGCCTCTGGGTTGGATCCCCAGTACCAAAAAAAAAAATATATATATATATATATATATCCTTATCTGACCACCTACCGTTACTCTTTGACTCTGCACTTATGCCTCTCTCTGCCTGTGCTCTTGGTTCAGCATCCTGTAACGTTATGGCAATATTTACCCTTTCTTAGCCCTTCTGTTATATATGTATATTTAAGTGACTCCATTTTGAGAACAAGAGCCAAGGTAGAATAACTCCACAACTTGCTTATACAGGTAAACCTTCACCATCTGCCCTGCGGGTATATCATTATGTGAAGTCTAATGTGTGACGTGAGTGTTATAGATATTAGAAATTAAGATTGGAATAAAAGATTTTGTATTTCCTTGGTTTATGACTATCAGGTGAGTATTTGGAGAATTACCACTGAGGAAAGTGTAACCTGTGAATTTACTGCTATTCAATACATTCTGTCACTGGAAAGATGGCAAACATGTTTGTTCTGTCTTGATAGCATAGCTTGCTCACAGCACACAGACTCTTAAGTGCTGTACTAAAGCCAGACATCTACCACTGAGCTGTGGGAAACTACAGATAAACTAAACAATGCTCTTGTCTTCCAAGACATTTGAATAATGTCTTTTCCCTGGGTCTATGTGGTCACCCTCTGTCTCCACAGAAGAGTAAAGATAAATTCCAGAAGAGGATAAGATTTCTGGTTAAGCCTGACACAATAAAGCTCAGTTAGACACAAGCTATTCTCAGGGGAGCTTTGGGACTAGAGGTTCATTAGCCAGTGTCTTTATCATGGCCACAGAGCTCACCCACTCACTTGGCTTCCGGTCCCAGGACATAAAATGGTGCACTTCACCAAATTGCCTCTGGTTTTTCCTGCAATTTCTGGAATCCTTCTCTGCTAAGTGACTTGTTCACATCAGACCAATACATTGCC